TATCCGGAATCTGGTCACAATAATGGACAATCATTTTTGTGTATCACGCTTTCCACTAAATCATTAGCTCTTCTGGGCAATTTAAGATTTTTTTTTTATTATAATTTCAACAAATAATAAAAAGAATATTTAAAGGTAGACATTTTACTTACACAATGCCATTGATCTATAACTCACAAATTTCGCTAAAGATGGCTGCCGAATATCCCGATGTGCAAAATGTGTTAGCAAAAAAATCGCTTCCTCGATCAGCAAAAGTTTATTGGATTGCTCAGCAACTGTCATCGATTGCTGGATTTCCATTTACAGTATTTGGCAAGCATAAGAAGTTTAATGCAGGTAAAGAAAAATATAACTACTGTCTTTTTTTTTAAGTGCTAAAATCTCGAATTTTTTTGTTGTAAGAATAACCAAAATGATTATTCTGTTTTACAGACTTGTATGCCGATCTGGTGGCACCAAATACCTCTTGTTCATATTTTACAGAAACCTGGCCTAATGGAGCTGTTAATTATCCGAACACTTGTAATACCACAAATAAAGATGTAGTCTTAAAGTTTCTGTCCTTCATTTAGGGTTGTCAGAATATAGACTAAAAGAGCAACGATTACAGTCATTTAATTTTCTGTTGCTTTTTTACTCTGTATTCTAAGATCACTAATCGCTAAATTTGAATAAAGAATTTTTTCCAATTTTATTTAGATATATAACATTGTCTCAATTAAAATCGCTAATATAACTTTCCCGACCACAAAGGATCACTCGAAGTGGGCTGTTGCTGACCTGATCAAATGTGGATACGTCTGTATTGGTGACATTAACAGACAGGTAATTTGGTTATAGTTCAGTTTAATTTCTATCCTTTTTTCTCTTGCTTTTCATAAATAGCTTTGCTTCAAACTTACATCAACAAATTGATGATACAAGAAATTTATTGAATTAGACCTGTTAGAAGCAAAAATTTGAAAAAACTGCCGAACAGTATCATTTATTTGGTGCTAATAATAAGAAACAGTTCTCTAACACTTTTCTGAGTGCTGACTGAAGAAAAGGTGTAGAAAAGAAATAACTGTGTTTTTTCAGTATTCCCAAAATAAACGTGCGGGTGACGCAGCGTGCTTCCAGTATAACCCATTATGGAATTTGTACAGGAATTTGATTGATGACTTTGAAGAATGTCCAGTTTAGTTGTGATAAAAATTAATAAGAAAAGAGAAAACTCAGGACTGACGGGTGTTGACGGATATTTAAATAAATATTTAAAATAGAACTTTTACTTTTTTTATGCATTTGAAAATGCCGTAATAACAGTTTTAAAAATGCAATTATTTGCTGAAATTGGCAACCGTTTAACGGTTTTTGTTTTTTTTAAAGACAGTAATCGAGAAGAAAAAGAGCACTAAGAGGAGAAGAAATTATCAGTAATATAAAGGCAATCAACTGGTTATTTTTACACCCTAAACTTGCTTTATTGTTCTGTAAAAGTACTTAAAAAGCAAGGAACATCTGTGGCATTGACAGCTGCCAAGTACTGTTGCTTCACCCCCCACTCATCTCCTTTTCCTCCCTCCCTCGGATTCTTCGCTTCCTCACTTCCTTAGTTTCATTAAGCACTGGTTATCATAAGAAAAGAAGTTCTTTACCTAATTTGCATAGAAACGCTAGAGCATAAGTGGAAAAAAAACAGTAAAGAATGTTTGATAACCCTATACGACACTAATAAAAAATTTGTTTTTTATAATGCTGGTATCGATAATAATAACAGTAATAATTCAAGAAACTTGTCACAAAAACAAAAAAGTCGTATTACTCATCTATTTTTCCTAATCACTTTTCTGTTTTATCCTCTCTTTTACCTTTTTAATTGAGATCCAGTAAGCAGAGTATGAAAACACTGAAATTTTTTTAGGATGTCTGTTGCTATTTGACACTTCTGTTTTTGCTGCTGCTCAAGCTGCAGCTATCTAAAGGTTGATCTGGTATCTGTGCATACACAGCATATCAAGGATTAAAAGTCAGCAAGAAAATACTGAGACACTTTAAATCAAAAAAAATTTTTTTTTTCGATTTCGCGTTTTCTTCTTACTTTATAACAACGAACAAACTTTTCTTAATTCTGTTATATTAAAGGAAAAGAGAGAAAGTAAACCTACTTAAATTTGACATGCAAAAAATTGATGCAAGTCGATAAATACGGACTTGATTCATTTTCTTGCCAAAAAAATTGTACGAAAAAAACGAAAAATTACGATGCATTTTCCTTAAACAAACTTCTCGTCTTGTTCAAACTGTATCGCACAATCCGTTTACCACATATCTGGAATTACAACGAAACATAGCAGACAAAAATGCGAATTTTTATCCTTGAAAGTTTTTGCTTTTACATAGAGCTTATATAGAGGACTACAGCTAACACTTCTATCAACAACACGAAAATTATCTGTCAATGAAGTAAACAAACTAGAAATATTACAGTAGCTGACTACTAATTTACAGAGTAAGAATAAAATTTAGATAAATCTAGATTACAGACCATGTGTGGTCTACATTACCATAACAACCAAAATCAACTAAAAGTACAAAAAAATGGCTTGATATCTTACAGCTTTTTTCTTTTTTCTGAATTTTTGTAGGTCAGCCTTTACCGATTACTAAATGACATTAGGTCGATGATTACATTAACAAAACGTTTTTATGCAATACTCAGATTTATTTATTCAACAAACGTCATTTAGGGATCACTAAACTTCAACCAAAAAAAAAAAAAAAAAAACAATTGTTTTTTTCCAGATTTTTCCTAGCGGTTCCTTTTCTCTTTTTTTCTTCCTTATTAATATACTATTGAGTAGATATAAAAATACTCGATCAACAGCATAATACTATTGTAGTCAATCTAAAAATGAGTTCATAAAGCTAAAAATCTATTTATACACTTAATCAAATAATGTGCTAAAAACGAACAAATTTAGCAGTCAAACAAGCACAGTTTTTTCAACTTTTTACACCACTTTTACATCAATTCACTCAACAGATTTCGCACTCTCTCCTCGCTGTTTCAAGCATTTTTTCGTTTTGTTGCTAGAAAGGCAAAATAATAAGATTATCAAAGTAAATTGAAAGTTTCATAATAAAAAAAAGAGAATAGCTAAAAAGTTGCATATTTATACAGCCGTGATATTTTTTATGCAGATGAGTACAACTTCACACTTTATAAGGCTTCCAGCCAGACAAAAACCACACACAGTCAGTTTGCTCTGCAAAACAATCAAATTTTATGTTGTCTCAGTACTTCCGATTATAACAACTTTTCTGTTCTAAGAGTTCTCTGACAAATAACTTTTAAAAGATGAAGAAACAAACCTGGATTCTATTAAAATTGCTTTAAGAAGTTTTTTGGTTTTTGAAGCTTTGCTAAGCAGCTATTACACGAAAAAAATTCAAACAAATTTTAGATGGTACTAATCAGGCTGGTCGTCTTCTTAACGTTCCTGCACTGGGTCTCAGCAGAGATCAGCTGTCGAAATGCTGATGGTGAACCGGTGCACTGGTAAAAAAAAAAAAAAGAATTCTTTTATCCAATCGCTTTCTTTACCGTTTCCAGTCTTCCCAAATGACAACAATTCGAATCAAACCATATCAGCAGTTTAATTCGTTGTTCTTTTCCTTCTGTGTATAAATCCTGTATCTAAATTTAAACAATATTGTAAAACAAAATTTGGACTTTGCCTACTCTACATGAATTAGAGCTAGCTGAAAAGCACCAGATAAGCAATCAATCCGTTTTCCAGGTTTGTTGGTTACAAATTACCAAAAATTATTGACACAGAACATATGGGTAACGAGTTTGTATACGCTGACCCGTTAAAACCGACGTGGTCAGAACCAGAAGATATCACATCGGTGAACAGCTCTGTCGGTCGAACCTTACAACAGTATTACCTGAACAGAAATGATCCTGTAAGTTGGCCAGAGTTTTTCTCAAAAAAGATCTCTTATAAACTCAGTGCAAATTTTTAGTAATCTAAGAGGTACACTAATAACAGAAAGCGATTATCGCTTATTTTTATATCAACATGTTCAGACAGATGATGAAAGCTTAAAAACTACTTTATACAGTACCGTCTTTTTGCCTTCTCCAAAACACATTTCAAAAAAACAACGCAACTTAATATTAATCGATTTTAAACACACACTACTACAACATTTCAGAGGAAGAATTTTTAAAGTTACTTATTTGTAGTACATTTGTGCTAATATTACAAAAAACTAACCTTCATTATGCAATTTCTTGAAGCTCTTATGAGGTTGTTCTCCATGAGTTTAGGAGCTGTTATATATGATGTACAACGATGAACACGCCGACGGTAAAGCAGATTCCTATCGTGGGCACTCAAAAGGTGCAGTGGTGTTCG